AAAATGATGACTAAGTGATGACGTGCGCCAAGGATCGTCTGAAGGTTTTGCGTTCAATGTACTGGGTATCAAAAGAAAGCCAAACAAAGAAAAGAAATAAAATAGAAAGAATCTGCTCAAATATTCTCAACATCATATTGTGTCCAGATTTTTTCACAAAACATGGCTTGAGTGCGTTTAGAGGTAACGCTGCTCGGAGTTGGCCAAATTTTTTGTTGCGCGCGAAGCGCGCAGATGAAAGAGTCAGGTGGCAGCACAACAAATCAATATCACCGGATTCTCTCAACAAATCTCTCTAGAACCTTGTTAACAGAACCTACGGCATCTCTTTGAGCTTCAAATTTTTTTTTAAGTCAAGAATTGTTTGTATGCCGTCAATGACAGCTTCCGGGAATTCTGGTCCAGCGTTGCCGTCACGTGCACGTGACTAATGGCAGATAACTTTTGGGGGTGGCAGATAACTTTGGCCTTGAATTCTCTGCATTGGCCACATGAAACTTTCGGCTCTCTGAGGGTAAATCATAGCTTACAACTGTGAATATGTACATGTCTAAGTTCAGCAGCGGAGGTATTGTATCCATTGAGAAACATGTAAACTACAAAACTTCGGGCTTTGCCGGGCAGATAACTGGCAGATAAATACCCAGTACAATGATCGGTAAGCCTGTCTGAACCTGCGCTGGGGTTCAGACGATCCTTGGCACACGTCATAATTTGGCATCATTTGGCTAACTCTTCTGCAGCTCATATTAGCAATTTTGAAAGAAAATACTGTAACTCTGTCAAATCTACTCCGAATTACATAAAATAAAATCCAGAAAAAAGGTAAAATTCCGCGCAATTCGATTACGTAAAATGGTGCACTATATACTACATGATTGGCATGTCATTGCCCAAGTTATACCTGCAATTCTGAAAGAAAATACTGCAACTCTGTCATATCTACTCCAAATTACATCAAATAAAATGGATAAATAATATACAACTGCAAGCATTATAATTACATACATTGTAGTAGTATGAATTACATAATTGGTCCTCAAAAAGAAAAAAGCATCTATAAATGTATTCACAAGAAATGCTGCAACTTACTGGATACCACTTATACAAAATCACAGTAAGTGCTCACAAAATGTCTCAATCCAACACTGGTGACTTACCTGCCTATGTCCTATGCCTCCTGAGCATACATCGCATCCTACGGTTGTTGACAATCAGCTGATGGTACAAATCATGGTAAGTGTTCATGAAACCTCTCAATGCATTTTCAATGACTTACTCATGTCATAGACCTCTGAAGCATATGTCATGTCCATTGTCATACCTCATATTGAACACTGTTGGCTTGGTGTAGATAAATCACAGTTGGTTGTGTGACGATGGTGGCGGATCTTGGTGGTCAGAGGTAAGTCACTATCATTAATTGTTTTGATGGATCACACTCACCTTGACTTGGCTGGAGGGGGAAGGGGATTCAGAAAAGACACAAGAAAAGGAGGGATGTACAAGACACAAGAAAAGGAGGGATGTACATACAATGTCAGAAAGGAATTTGGACAATAACATCTTCGCATCGTTAAGTCCTATGTATTCCTGTAAAGATGTATAAGATTAGTAACATAGATATATGTCTGAGACAATAATGCAGTGTGAAGTTGTATTCCTGATATATGAGCTTAGT